TTAGTATGAGTTATTGCTTTTGTTCTTGAAAACGCATTCAAGTTTTATCTTGTAAACATTCTAGAAGGGACAATTCTTGATGGATTTTAACAAAACTTGGCATGAGTGTTTGTTATCACCCAAGGTTAAACCCTATTGAAAATCAGAAAAATATTTAGTATGAGTTATTGCCCTTGGCGTTCAATCTTTAGCTCGTTTAACGGATTTTGACGAAATTTCGCATGAATGTTTGTTATCACCCAAGAATGGACCCTATTGAAAATCAGAAAAATCGAAAATATTTAGTATGATGTATTGCCCTTGCTTTTGAATACGCGTTCAATCTTTAGCTCGTTATCACTCTAGAAGGCACAATTCTTGAAGGGTTTTGAACTTGGTGTGAATGTTCGTAATCACCCTAGGATGAACCCTATTGAAAATCAGAAGAATTGAAAAATATTTAGTATGAGTTATTGCCCTTGTTCTTGAAAACTCTTTCAAAGTTAGCTCTTAAACACTAAAAGGCATGATTCTTGTTGCATTTTGACAAAACTTGGTTTTATTAATCAGTCCCGCGCTGAAGGTTGAATATTTCATAAATCAAAGCTACCAGTGGGCGTATATTGCCTGGCAAGCTATCTTTTTTTTGCTTTCTTTACCAGTTGATAAGCAAAATCGTTACAGCCCGATTTCACTAGCCATTGTGGCTTAACACTGTCGTCACTTCCATGGCGTCATCAAAGAAATATATAGATGTATAGGGCTTTGGGTATCATTACCCTTCTCACGTGGAACATTTGACGTCATCGGTTACAAATGCCTATAAAAATTCATAAGAATGCTTAGCACAGACGATTCTGTTCTAATTTGTCACGCCCTGTAAAGCTACATACTGAATGAATCTGAAAAAATACTCAATAAGTGAAAATGGAATAAATTCCTCATATAATTTGACCCCGTCACCAGTTGAATTGAGAAACCTTTCCGGTCTAAATACTTTCACATCACCCCATGTATTTTTATACGCCCACATCAAATGGGGGGCGTATATTGGCTTCACTCATGTCCATCCGCCGGGTAATATCATTCAGTATCGCCCCAAAAAGTTCAAAAGAAGTGTACGACTGAATAGTCCATTCTTATGATTGTTACTGTACTTTCGAGGTTATGTGGAATTTAGATTCTCATTTCCTTGAAAGATTGATCATTGGGTACCCACAAGACGCCGAAATTGTGCTGTTCTCGTCATACAACCATAGAAAAACCAATTTTAAATATGATCTTTACATAATTGCACCTGATAGGGGTGATGACGTCGGACTTAAACTGAAAATGAAATTCGCCACTAGACTCACCTTCAAATCGTATCGTATATATACAATATTTTACCTTTTTTCCAAAAAGAAACA